TCGTGTGTCTGTGCGTCCGTCCGGAGTCATATCTCAGAATCCCTTGAACGGATTTCGTTCATTCTTTGCATGTGCCTAGTACTTCATGTGGGACATGTGCACATGCAGTGGTTTAGCGATTCAATTCAAAATATCCGACTGGCAGCCATCTTGCTTTTTGAAAATGTTGTATTTTGGACATGCTTTGTCAGTTTTCATTCAAACTTGGTACATAGATCATACATGCTAGGATACATGTCCATGACAATTTATTTCACAATTGGATCAAAGATGGCTGACTGGCAGCCATCTTGTTTTTTGAAAATGTTGTATTTTGGACATGCTTTTGAGTTTTCATTCAAATTTAGTACATAGATCATACATGTTAGGATACAAGTCCCCAACCGTCCGCAAGTCTTAGTCTGTCCGTCCGTCCATCCGTGTGTCCGTCCGTCTGTGCATCAGTCTGTCCAGAGTCATATTTCAGAATCCTGTGAACCGATTCCATTCATTCTTCGCACATGCTTTAGTACCTTATGTGGGACATATGCACATGCAGTGGTTTAGCGATTTGATTCAAAATGGCCGACTGGCAGCCATTTTGTTTTTTGAAAATGTTGTATTTTGGACATTCTTTGTCAGTTTTCATTCAAACTTGGTACATAGATTATACATGTTAGGATACATGTCCATGACGATTTATTTCACAATTGGATCAAAGATGGTCGACTGGCAGCCATTTTGTTTTTGTTTTTTTATGCGGTATCTTGTATGTGCTCTGTCAGTTTTCATTCAAATTTGGCACATACATGTACTTTATACATGTTAGGATGCATGTCCATAATAATTTGTTTCAAAATCTGGTCAAGGATGGCTGATTGACAGTCATCTGACTTTTTGGCCTTACTACTATATTTCCACAATTCATGTACCATTTTCATTCGTATTTGGCACATACATCATACATATCAGTGTGTTTCATAATCAGATCAAAGATGGCTGAATAACAGCTGTTTTTATTTTTGGCCATATTACTACTACATGGAACACGCGTTTTTATGTAAATAAACAATCTGTTGTATACGCCACTTGGAACTCAAATTTCAAGGACACGCTCGCAACAACCCCTCCGCTTTAATATGACGAGCACAAAGAGAACTTTCAAAAATCTTGACGGGGACTGTGTCATTTTCAATGACTTGTTTTCACTGAATCATTCTTGCAGCGAAAATAAAAGTATTTTACAGTAGCTTGGAATGCATGGAAATATCGTGGGTATTCCAACAATTGTCATCCATAATACTGACAGTTTTTCTGGCTTCAAGCCCGAAAAATTCCTTGGCTGATTTACACTGCAATTGGTGTAAAAATGTGTCTCTTGCAAAACTGTTTTAAATGACAGTACAAGGTCACAACTGCTATAAGTTTACAAAGAGTACTACACCGGGAATACTTTAATGGGTGTTGTATTTATTGCTATTTTGTTCTCAGTTTGGTGTCATATTTATTTGAAAAGTTTGTAAATGTCTTGCAAAGTTCGAGTCTCGTTCTGGTAATCAATACTCGCTGTGTTTGGGGAACATTAGCTGGCTTTGGTGTAAGATTTCAGTATCAAAACACAGTTGTTTTGCTTTGTTAGTAATTAGGCACTTGGTGTGTTTTATACTTTAAAAAGAACTAGTGCTGATTATCCCAGCGATAGTTTATTGATTGCAAGTCAAGTTTTTTTATTATGTACAAGTTGTATGAAAATGATTGAAGAGTATAAACTAAATTTCTTGGGCTATTTGCAATTTTACTTTGATTTCTTCATTTACTGCACTAGCTCTTTTTCACTGATTAGAGATATTGTAATCTTTGTTCAAGGTTCATTATATAGTCAGAACAGGGTTTCAATATTGCTGTTTTCTTTACATTATGATGTCGCAGTTCACCAAAAAAATGATAATGGAAATGGTTTCCATGGTGACAAATTTATTTGATTCTCAGCTTATAGTTAGTGACCATTTTAAAGTATAAATTGTCGACGACAAAGTCAAATTTCTCAAAAGTGTGAATTTTTATTGTAGCGTTGCATTTCTCTCACTTTCCAGAACCCTACTCAGTGCGCGAAGCTCGTATTCATGTTCGTCATGTCAGAGATTTGTTGAAGTCGATAGATCCTACTGACGCTTACAATGGTACAGATTTACAAGCGCTGAGTTTCCTGAATGCCGTCATTGTCAGAGACAGCCCAGGTGAGTGACAACAACAATAAACAGTTTTGGATTAGTTGATCCTTCTCCTGAATTCACGGAGTGCACTTATGCAATGCTTAGATGCCCCAATTGTGTGGATTTATTGCTCTACAAAATAGTTTCCTTCACAATATCAATCCAGTGAAAGACGTTTTATGAGCAGTTTCCACCAATCAGATCAGTGTGCCCATGTATTACCAACGTATAAATTTGAGGAATTTAGGAATTATGGATGTCATTTGAAATGAACAGCTGTAACTTTATTATGTGTTGCAATTATATCCAATGCTGCATTTATTATATATCTCTTTCACCATCGGTATCAACACAATTGACATGGGGGTCGACAGAATACTGTAGAATACTTTATTTTCGCTATTTTCGCTGAAGGGATGATTCTGTGAAAATAAAATCCAGCGAATATACTTTTTTTCCTATATTTTACACTAAACTGATCAAAAATCAGTAAAAAATAAATTCCATACAAAACGCCCCAAAAAGCCTTTTCAGCAAAAATTAATTCTAGCAAAAATAAAGTATTCCACAGTATACTAGTGATAAACTGGACTTTGATTGCAGTCATGTTATAGAATGACTAGCAGCTTGTCATTCTATACCATATACATAACAATTTTAGATTTTAGGTGTCCTAGCTGGTATCTTTGACATCTAGTGATTGTATCTATTTTACATAATACAAACATCTTGTCATAACTTTAATGACATGATACTGTACATTTTCAAATAAAAATGTGTTAGCACTGCCTTACCACCATGTCCGCTGTGCTCCAAACCCAACACACTCCTGACAGAACGATGTAGTTTTTCACTTCCCCTGACGATTTTTCGTCTGTACCAATCAAATTGCAGGAACGTCAGATAGTGACAGCCATCAAAGAGTAATTATTCACGGCAGAGTTTATTTGTTTGTTGACATAATGTGTGATAAAGTGCTGGCAAATTTCTGCCCAATGTTTATCATGATTTTTGCAGACAATGCAAATACGACTTTGTCTTCCTGGTTATGAATGAGCGTCTGCACAAGAAAGACGTCTTTTGCAGCCTGCAAGTTGCGCCCTCTGCACTATCTTACCATGGCCACCAAAATGAATATTCATTGAAATTTATTGCAAGGAGGCGTGAGCTTTGCGTATTTCGCAGTATTGTTTT